GCAACATGACAGCACAGGAAACCAAACATTATGGGATGCCGGTTTTCTCTTTCTTGGAAAAACTGAAAAATGCAGGCCAAGCATCAGGTCTCTCCACCATCTTGTGGCTTCCACTCCTGCGCCAGCATCCTTCCACTGCAGTTGTCCTTTCACTCACTCACTGGACACACAAAATACACGATACATGTCACACATTTAAATATTCAAACTGGCAACAACCCCCCTACATGAAGATGTGGTTGAGGCATTTTGATTGGACTGGAGCCCTTCTTTAACTACTGTGTATGAGGCAGAGAAGCTTCAGGCCCATAAGTTCCAACCCAATGTCAAGTGCAACAGAGAGGTGATTTTTTTTTCTTTCTTTCCTTCCTTCTCTTTTTCATGGAGAGAACAGAATGTACTGAAGGCAGCAGGCAGGCAGGAAGAGAGTGGCTAAAGCCTTAATGATATGGTGTATGATTGTAACCTTGGAGTGTGTGCGTGCGTGTGTGTGTGTGTGCATGTGCGTGTGTGTGTGTGAGCACAGGCAGAGTGTGTGGACCTCCTCTACAAAGCTTTACTTCTGTATCCTTCTGCTGTTCTGTGTCTCCTCAGAACAACAGTAGTCCTGGGAGCCCCCTCTGCTTTCACCTCTTCTTTTTCTCACCCTCTTCTCTCGTACGTCACTGTTCGGCCCTCCCATTGCATCTTCATTCGTCTGTTGAACTGGACTGATTCTTATTTTCTCTTCCTTGTTGCTCAGAAATTGATCATCATCAGATGCAGATGCAGCTTAGGGCTGCTGGGTTACTAATACGCTGGTGCGAACCTAGGCGAGGAAATAAATAGTTACTATAATTTTTACTATTGACAAATTTTTCCCTTTGTTCCCCTTGTGTAATATAAAAATTATGCTTTTTTTTTTATTTTTTAGCTGTATTCCCTGCAGGTGGCTGAATTGTTAAGATAGAAGAAGCTGTTCAACTTCTTGCCATTTGATTGCAGAAATTGGCACATTTAATTCTGCAACTTACAGTTATGACGTTTCTTGCCCATTGAAGGCACAGGTTTAAAGCCTGTATTGGCTTTAAAAAAGAATGGTCTCTGCTACAGTTGTGCGTGCATTGTGTGTTGTTAATTCATGTGTATTGATAACAATGCCTTGACCATTTCACTTCCAGGTCAAATTCTTTGTCAGTTTACTTTGTTAAAACCTGACCAGTTTTCAGAATGGGGAAAAAATGTCCTGTGTAGCTTCAGAGCTGTCAGAAAACATGCTGGCATTAAGAAAGGGAATTGATCAGCTTGTAGGTCTATGTTTACGGTGTTTCACTTGAATCCCATATACCCTGAGGGCTGAAGGTAACTGCCTGCTTGAATTGATTGGTAATTCAGTCATGCCTTGGTATCAGTAACACTGTGACCTTGGGTTTTTACCTTCACATGTTCCTGGTTTATTATTCCTTGCTTTCCCAACAGCTATCCCCATTTCACCGGAACCACCTTCCATTCATTCTTGTCCGTTTTAACACTAACTCTCTGACTTCCCTTTATTTCTAAAGAACCTCAGTGACTTATTCAGATGGCGTTTACGGTACTCGCTGAACTCGTGTTGCAATCAACAGTTTCCGTGCCCTCATTTTTGTAACAACAGCAAAATAGAGCATGAAGGTCAAGTAGTGGACATCCTGTCCACGTTTCAGGGAAGTGGAAGAGGCCGGCATCATATAGCGACTGGTTGAGCGCTCTCCTCATATACAGTCCTATATCAGAATTGGGTCAGATAGTTGCAGGAGTTACCCAGGTTTATCATGTAGTCAGAGCAATGCAACCATTGCAGAAGAAAATGAATGGGAGGAATGTGTTCAGAAACCAATGACTGAAATATCTGGTTACCAATTGTTCCGATTGACCTGATCATCTGAGCAGACGGGCTTTTAAATATACTCTCTGTGGCTGGGCCGTAATTTATAAACCGTGTTCAACTTAGGAATACACTTCTGCGAAAAGAAAGAAATGGCCAAGGACAGCTTGTCAGTGTCCCGGATAGGAGCAGACAAGGTAGCATGAGGGACTGCCAGTGCCCTGGTTAGTCCATCATTAGGAATGTGTCTACATAAAACGGGTCAGTTTCACTGCCTCAAAGCTCCTGCCCCCATCTAGGTTTTCCATAATTGTCAAACAAAGCACAGAACAGGGGAATGAAACTTGGAGCTGAGTTCAGAATACCTCAGCAGCCCCACTCCTGCCCTACTTCCTTCCCTCTTTATCCTCCCTTTAGCATGTTTTCATGTTCTTGGCTGTACAGAATATCCTACTGACTTATGAGTAGCCAGTTGTGGAAAAACAAAGGAATATAGAGACATAAATGGAGTTTTAAAAGTGCTTATCTGATCTGGATCTTGGATTGCAAAAGAAGGAATGCATGGTCTTTAACTAAATACTGCTTGGATTCTTCTTTTTCATTCATTCATACAGTAATTTCTTTAGTGCTCATTTTTGGCTTCCCCTCTCTTCCTCATCTTGTTTCTGCTCTCCGCCTTTCACCCACTAGCCTTTTCTTTCCCTCTTGTCTTGTCCTGAACATGGATAATGAGGCCCCAGGCCTGCCATAAGTGAATCATGTATGTTGATTGGTTTGGCAGAAGCAGGCCCTTGCCAGAGTCACTTTGCACGCACTGCCACCCCTTGAAAGCGTTCTGTTGGCCGTGCTGTTGTGCGTGTTAGAGAGAGATGAAGGGGAGACATGAGGGAGAGAGGGAGGTAGAGAACTGGCAACGAAATAAAGAGTGAATGAGAGGAGAGCTAGGCAGCCTGCCAAGACAGGAGTGTCTGGATCTAACAAAACACATTTATTAAGCAGGACAGGAGCTGCTTTTCGGGACCAGATTTGGACACTAAGTCAGGATTTGGGATTATGTTAAAGATAAAGTTAAAGATAAAATTATTTTTAAAAAAAAATAAATGTGTTGGATTGTTGGTCATGATCATAGGATCACCAAACTGGTCATATCTACCTAGTTTTGCTGTCTAGAGCCTGAGGCGCAGAGTGTCATTTACTGGACTTCTTGTTTTTAGCTAGGTTTATCTTTCCTGCTTTGTGCTGAAGTCTACAGAGTTGTCTTGAACCTAAATATTTTTGTCAGAGTGTCTGCTCTGTTTTTAATAGATCGATGGGAATTTCTCTGTAATTTTACTCTGCTGGAAGGGGATCAGTCGGGACAGCTTTGGAATAGAGCGACTAGCTCTAGACAAGAGAGATAAATTGGTCTACAGCTCACTTAACAAGCCACAGCTGAGTAATGTCAGTGCATCAAAAGTGACTTATAGAGTAAGGTGTTTTGGCATTCAAATAGACAGCTAGGCAAGCAGTTTTCGCTCCAAATTCTTCCATTTGTCTTCCTTCATACTAAGCCCATGTTCTTTATTTCCTCAGTGTCTTACACTCCAGAGAGAAGATTACCAAACCACTAGACCTCATGAAAGTGAAAAATAATTAAAACCCTACAGCCAAAGCCTTTGAGTCCACATTGTGCTTTGTCATTAAGTAATTTTTGCTATACTGACTTTCAAAGCTTACTGCTTTAGTTTATGTTCAACAAGACATTTTATGAACTGCGGGCTGAGCGGTTTGGGTTTTTTACACCATCTGAAACTATAGAAAATATATTATTCTGTCTTGGCGCAAACCACTACGACATGTTTTACCATACTGTATACCATCCACATACGTGGTTCAAAGAGGTGAAATATGTTTGCTGAATTTACTGCACCGGTTGATGTTTTGCAGCAGTAAAAGTTATCTGCTTCAGAAGCAAACTGCAGTAGTCTTTTTATGTAGTGGTGTGTAGCTTCAGACGGGCTGCCTGAGCTGAATGTGGGGTAAGGAAGAGAGACTGCTGATTGTCAGGGGATTAATAAATGATGATGTTGTGCCCTGCCCTTAGGTCGATTTTCTTTTTTCTTTTTGCCCTGGTCAGAATCATTGGGGGGAAGGGACGTAATAGGGTCTAGAAGCACAAGCAGGAGAACTCACTGCTTGAGTCATGATTGACTTAAGTGTGTTGACAGTTAGATTAACCAAGACTCTGCCTACAGTCAGACTGTAATGTGCTAATATTCTGTGTTCTCATCGCACTGAGCCATGCTGAGCTTGCAGTTAGGACTCCCACTCTATTTTTACATCTTTGTACTAACAACAGAAAGGCAAAGTGATGTAAATATCCCTATTGGCAAGAATTACATTATTTTTTAATTGTCTAATCTGCACTTATGTTGGAGATAATCAAAACCTCCTTGTCATAGTGTTCTCTTTTTAATCGTTACTGTCTGAATGGACTATGAATGGTGTAGTGTTGAGACAGACCGGTAATGTAGTGGAGGACGCTGGTGTTATTGAGATATGCCACTGTCAGCAAAAGCAAGCAGGCAAGAATCGATATACGGTAGGATCAAGAGCAGGGACTCAGCATTGTTTGTGTGGGTGTGGGAGCATGTGGAGATGTACTAAAAACCTTGTCATCCACTCACATCCTTTAAATTATGGGCAAGATGAACTGTATGGTAGTTTAGTGGCGGAAGGGAGGCATAGTTATGGATTATGTTTGATTATCAAAGTAAGGAAGTGTATTTTTGACACAATTTTTCAAATATGAAAAGATCAGCTGACTTTATGGTTATTCAGAAAAAAACAATTTCTCATTATGTTGCACAGTTGTTATATCGACCTGTAAGTGTGTGTGTGTGTGTGTGTGTGTGTGTGTGTGTGTGTGTGTGTGTGTGTGTGTGTGTGTGTGTGTGTGTGTGTGTGTGTGTGTGTGTGTGTGTGTGTGTGTGTGATACATGACTTGTGTGTGGCCTGTCCTTATATGGTCTCCATGTGCGTGTGGCACAGGGTTCAGTGAGCTAATTTCTATGTTCTCTGACTTACTTCCTGTACTTACTGTGTTACTTTTGAGAATACAAATGGTTGTCATTGTGAAATTAGAGATGACTAAGTGTTCTCTCTGTGCCTCCTACAGATGAGATTTGTCTGCTGAAAACCACTGAGGGAATTTTGAAGTCTTAAAGAGACGGTGGCAAAACGAATCAGAACAGCCTAACAAGAAAAAGGAGCTTTTCCTTGACAGCCTAAAGAACTTGGTAGCACAACGGCACAGATGTGGACTCCCCAAGAGATTTTCATCAGATAATCTGGACAACATAGAAACTTGGTCGATACAATAGAAAGAAATCTGGAACCATGTCAGATCATAAAGACATGACCCATCGCCACCTGAAGCACAAGCTGCAGAGTCTTGGCCGAAGACTTGATGAACTGGAAGAAGCAACAAACAAGCTACAGAAGTCTGAGGATGAGCTTCTTGACCTACAGGTAAGTTGTTGTGACAGTGTGTGGAGGGTTGTGTGTGTTTGTGCATCTCAAAAGAATGACTGAAGTGAAAAAGAAACGCAGTACATGAAAAGAACTGTTGTACTCTCTCCTCTGCAGGACAAGATTATCCAGGCAGAGGGAAGTAACTCGTCCCTGCTTGGTGATGTGGAAGCCCTGAGAAAACGTCTCTTGAAGATCCAGGGGAAAGATGAGGAGGTACGTAAAGCTGAGGATCTTTGCCGCACAGTAAGAGAGAAACTGGAAGAGGAGGAAAACCTTACGAAAGAGCTAAAGGCAGAAATAGAACGTCTTCAGCGACGGATGGCTGAACTCGAGAAACTGGAAGAAGCTTTTGGGAAAAGCAAGTCTGACTGCAGCCAGCTTTGCCTTAGCCTCAATGAGGAGAAGAACTTAACCAAGAAGCTCTCATCTGAGTTGGAGACACTAAAAGCCCGTTTGAAAGAGGTGGAGGGGTCTGAGACAAAGCTGGAGAGAACGGAGCAGGCCTTGGCTATGGAGCTTGAAAAGCTCAAGGGATTCACCCAAACCTTTGTGAATGAGCGTAAGAGGCTGCTAGAGAAACAAAGAGAGGATGAGAAGACCATTCTGAAATTGGAAGAAAAGCTGGCGCACCAGAAGAATCGCTTTGGCATGTCAACGGATTCTGGCAGAGCAGATTTCATGAGCTCAAGAATTGAAGATGAGCTAACATCCACAGCACTCTTAACCAGTAAGCTGGCTGGACAGAAGAAGAGCCATGACTACTCAAAGCTGTCTGAGAATGAGAAAAACAGCGGTCTTGAAGGCTCGCAGGAGGACAACAAAGTAAAGGAGTTGACACAGGAGGTAGAACGACTGAAGAACCGCCTTAAGCAGTTGGAGATTGTGGAAGAGGATTTGAAGAACTCTGAGTCAAAAAATGGTGAGCTTCACGAAAAGTTCCAGATAGAAAGGGACCGAGTTCGAAAGTTAAATGAGCAGGTGGAACACCTCAGGATGCAACTGTGTGGAAAAGGCGGAATCAGAGGAAATGGAATTGGTAACTTGGATAAACACGGCAATGGAAGCAGCACTGCTAAGGTCATTGAAAATGGCAAAGTTGAAAATGAAGAGACTATCCTGAAGGAAGGGTTTAGACAAGAAAAGCCTAAATATAGAAGTGCAGCAACTGTCCCAGAGCCAAGTTCCCCAAAACATAGGAACAGAGATTTATCTCCTCAGCATAAACCTTGGAACAAAGATTTCAGCAACTCTGAGAAGGGTTCTCCCAAGTCAGTGAGAAGAGCCCTGAGTCCTGCCCAAAAGAGAAGGACACCCAGAACTACAACTACCACAAATTCATCTGATAATGGAATACGAGATACAGTGCGAGGAGCTGAGGAAAAGCCAAGAGGAGCCACATACAGCTCTGTGAATACAACTTCTAGTGATACCAAGAAGGTGTCCGTCCTTAGTCGATACCCTCCAGCAGCTAATGACCAGAAGCCACTAAGGACAGCTCACAAGCATACGGATGACATCAAGAAGAGCAGAGAAAAGTTCTCAAAACTGTACGTAGGTAGTGACAGTGAATCTAACAGCTCTGATGTCGTGCCTGACAGTACCTCCAGTACCATGAACAGCATCTCTGCTCTAGAGAAGGAAACGGTGCCTGTGTCCGAGCAGGAATCAACAGACCAGATTCAGGAATCTGTATCTTCTTCTATTTCTACTATATCCAAAGCCAATGGCTCATACACAGCCTGCAAATCTCACATCAATCCCTTGCTGCCCAATGACCACGGGTCAGAGGGTCATTCTTCTGCCTCAGAAACAGAATCTACTGGATCAAGGCCATCTGAGCTGGACCCTACAGCTGAAGCAGCTGAGGCAACTAGCACAGCTGTAAGCAGTAGGACTGTAACCTCCAGGTATTCTAGATACCCTCAAGTCCAGGACTCTCATTCAGAGGGTTCCTCCTCCAGGAGCTCTTTTGATGAGGAGCTGCACAGCCGGTCACAGGGAGCTGAGGGAGGTCACCAGGGATCCATGCATACTCCAGCAGGGATTGAAATCCAACGAGTATGCAGTCCTAGAGAGGCACTGAGGTCAAGAGCTGTGATCAAGCCTGCTATTGTGGAAATTGACAGAAAGGAAGTAATGATTTCAGAACCCTTGCCTACAAATGGGAAACCCAAGATCTCGACCAAACCAATAGTGACTACTACTAATAAAATCACCAGTAGTATAACCATCTACCCAAATGATCCAAGCTCTTCCAGAACCAGCAGTCGCAGCAGCAGTGTGTCCAGTGAACCTGCACCTATTAAAGGACGCCACACATCTACCAGTAACATCGTTATAGGTACGTGTCAACAATTTAGAATGATCTAGTTAAACTTATACTGCATTTTTCAGGACAGGATCTAGATACTAATTCTAAATAGTACAGTAAAGACAACATTTTTATTTGTTGTCACGTGAAACCTTCTAATTAGTGCTCACAACTTGCAGCACTCGCAAAACTGTAGCACACCTTTTGGACAGGCTGTTAGGGTAATTAAACCTGCTACAAGCCCCATTATTATGTGTCCAGAAAGTGGTGCATGGTGAACACCTATCAGTCATCAGCATCTGCTTCCCCAACATTAAACCTCAGTAAAGGTTTTTTTGTAGCAGTCTGTAAATGTGCTTTTGTCTTCTATAGGATTGGGTGTTTTAATGTAATTAACCCCTAGTCATGTTGGCGGCAGAACCATCTGTCTCTCTGCAGAATGAAATTGTGTTCCCTGAGATGATTTTCTTTATTCAGTTCAACTCAGAAAATCCCAACAATCCCCCCCACCCCCTGAGCCTTGTGGCTCAGGGATAGGCAGCCACCTGCCTTGACTGGTTACAGATGAGGGGAAAGAAAAGAGAGCCTAGTGACATGGTAATATTTGCTAACAAGCATTAAACACAAACTTAAGCTGATAGGATGTTATTTGTTTTTGTCCTGAGCCAAACTGTTGGACCGAGATTAATTTTGCACCCCCCAAAAACTGATATTTTAAAGCACATGTCAACTTACTGTCAACTTGTTGCATCTGTATAAATGTATCATTTTATATATATTGCCAGGCCCAAACACTGATCATCATGGCAGTATTTCCGTCCCATATGAGATCTCCATACCCAAGAGTGAGATCACTTTGCGGCCATGCCAGGACCAGGACTGTGGGCCACACAGCCACAGTGATTCATCATCAAGGTCTAAACTCCACAACTCTTCCAGGGTGGAGACCACCACCAGCCACCTGTGCTGCCAGCGCAGCAACTTTAGCCTCCAGTCCCCGGACGTCACTTCCTCAGACTTCAACGACACAGAATCAGGATTTGAGAGCAGCAGCAGCACGACCACCGTCACCAGCTGGAGAAGCCAACGGCAAAGCCAACCGTCACACGAAGACAGTTTGCCAGATATGAAGAATGTGACCGTGAGAAGCCCCTGGAGGAACAAAAGCGCCATGTCTGTGGACGAGGGAAGTCGAGGAAGGAGTACGAGAGCAATGACAGATGGCGGGTCTGAAGATGAAACCGAAACTGCAACAACGTGGAGGGCTTACAGGGCAACCACCTTTGACACAGAGGACTCTGTAAACAGTGGAAACGGAGGCGGCGGAAATGCTGCAGCACAGAAGGGAGCCAAGCCGTCCCCTGCTGAGGTGGGGAAAGTTAATAAGTGTATATCAAAGTAATTTCACACACAAAGGAAAAAAATAATAGAGGGAATTTTCTCTTTGTCCCAGGTGTACATGCGTAAGATCTCTCAGTCTCCCCCTATGGAAACAGGAGGGTTGGGAAGGGCCATACCCCATGCACCCGTTACCTCTCAGTCCTGGAGCCGATCATATTCACAGCAGCCACCGGTAAGGAAAACTGACTTCAGGTTGTTAACACTTTCCTGTAGTAGATTCAGTTTTATAGGCTTTTGTTTTTATCAGATATGATATAAAACACGTGGCTATTGGATGCAACTTTATTTTCATTTTTGTTCTGCTTTGAAATATGCTTAATGTTTCTTGAGTCTGTTTTCTTGGTACATTTCTCAAGCATTTGTAAATTTAAAAAAATGAATTGGTGATACTCAATTAATAAAGTTGGTATTGCGCTTAGAGTATTGTTCTCTGCAAATAGTTTTAGCATGAAGATAAAGACTCCACACAAAGTGCAGCTGCAGGCCTTAGCTCCTGGTGTGTCCACTTTGCATTAGAGCTCAGCTGGTATTTTTCCCTGACGCCAGGCTCCGTGACTTCAAGCTTAGCACAGCAGTTCTGCAGGCCCCACTCCTGCTGCCCCAGTAAGCACAAAGAGAAAAGGGTGGGACAGAAAGTAGTAAGGATGGAAATGAAAAAGACCTCAACAGGGGGAAAAGTAGGTTAGAAAAACCTCAAGGAGAAGAAAATAGCTTTCTCCTATGTGAATGTTCTACCACATCAGTGAGAGACTCAGTTTGCTATTGTGGAAGACACCATGTAATAAGCAAAGGTGTCTGTTAAGGTCTGCGACTTTATTTTATGACTTTGTTTTGTACATAGTATGTTGTCACTGTTTATAAGAGCTTAATTTAAAAAATTTCAATTTAGGTGTGGCAGACTTTTCCACTGTTAGCACAATGTAATATGTGAGGCTATGTGGGCCATTGTGATTATATTGTGATATCATGTATGTGAGATCATAAAAAATGGAGTGTGAATATTTCACATGTATTTTGTATGTAGTGATGCTGCGATTTATAAATACATCGTCATGGATCGCTGTCATGCATGTTCAGTAACGTGTCAGGGGAAATCTGGGGTTTTGGGTCTTTCAGTACAGCTAACATGGCCTTGGAGCTATAATTGCCTGCAGGACTCCTCCCTAGTCATTATCATCAATGGGCTTAATGAAATCTACCCAACACTGAGCCACAACCCCCAAATGCCCCCTTTCATCACTGATATTTAGCAGACTGGTAGAAAAAGTGTGAAGGGCCTTGCTCTTTTTCTTTATCATAAAACCCTGGCATTAACAAAATAACCTTGAGTTTTTGTTTTTTTTTAATGCTCCCATTATGCAGTGCCCACTCAGTGCCACTCGGCCTCGACCTTAGCTCTGCAATTTCACAACCACAACTACTTAAGATAAGCCTCCTGTCCCACATCACTGATGCTTTGTGGTCCGGGAACCCGGAACCATCGAACAAGTCCTGTCTTCGTTGTTTAAGATCGGCTGTGAACTGTTAAACCACCGTCCCCCTGTTCATTTTTTTGTCACTCGTGCACTTTTTAATTTTATTGTAGGAATTTCCCAAATCCACTGTGCGGTAGAACCTTGTTCATCATGACATTTCATGCATGAACTGGTCACTCGATTTGGATAGCAATTATGTGCAGAAATTACCCCAGTGCAATAAAAAATAAGTTTCTTCAAAAACAAAACTGGGCTTTGAAGCGTGTCTTGGAGCAAAGCCGATCATCTTTGGTTTGGATTTGTAGAATATTTCAGCGGTCTGAACTGCGTCCGTTCCCAAGAGGCTTGGATAAATACAGCTGTACTTAGGACAGTGGAAGGTTGGGATTAGTCTGTGTTTGCAGTGTCAGGGGTTGATAAAAGAGGGTTGTGTTATTACAAGGTTGCAGACGGAGCCGCTCTCAACATCATTAACTGACACCCCATCAGTTGTTATTCAGCTGGGTGGGCATCTGTGTTCCTCTTGATTCATCAAAGTTTGTTTTTGTTTGACATGTTTGCTCCTTGTAAAATTGTCTTTGAACCTTAAAATGATGAATGAAGAACATTTAAAAAAATCTAGTTTTTCTTCTAGAGATTTAAACATCAGATTGTTGTGACTATCTTTCATGCCCTGGTGATGGAAGGAGAGCAGACTGAAAATCAGCTTTCTGTGGACCAGTGAGGACATATTGGTCGATAGGCATTAAGGAGGAGAAAACACTCCCAATTCCTATAAGTACCCTCAGCACCCTGGGCAGACTGATAGCTTATTGATTAGCTTTCACTTTTGAACCTCATGTATAAATTATCTAGAGGTTATTTATAATAGAGACAGACAGACATCTTTTCCTCCAGTGAAAGGTCATGGTCATATCTAGTTTATCTGAACCAACACTTTAGCAGCGTGACTAAACTATCAACTGCTTTGGCTTGTAGTGATGGCATTTATCGAGACTCATTCAATCTTTTATCCTTTTAGAGCTTCTACGATGTTCAAATTTGTGCAGTGGCATCAGTTACCCTTTGTACTACAAGTATGAGCAGATGGCTTGATGGTTAGCATTGCTGCTAACAATAAGCATGCTAGCAAGGAAAGCTGAGTCAAGTCTGTCCCGTATTCAGTAAGTGAAAATAAAATAAACAATAAAAGGTGAATCAAATGGACCATTACGGCAAGGCTGGGATGGTCAATTTGGTAAAGTAAATCTGTTGGGCATCTTTCTTTGCCTTTAGACAACAATTCTGATGGCAAAAGAGCCAAACGGGACAGGCAAAAAAAAAAGAAAAAAAAGAAAAAGTTCTTTACCAATTTTAGTTAGTGCAAGAGAGTTTCCACCACCGTGCAGACTTTGACGTCGTCCATTTTGATGTGGCGAGCAATCAGCAGCCATTAAATGGATGGAATGAAACGAGGGGTGAGGAGTCTTTTTCTGATGCTGTAATAATTTTCAGCGTAAAAGTCATCAGCCACCACTTCAAAACCTTGTACTCCCTCTTCGTCCACCCTCCGCCCGCGAACTTGTGCTGAGACTGCCGGTGCATTTTCCGCAGTCTGCGTCTCCCTCTTTGCTCATAAGAAAGAAGTTTCTATGAAGATTTAAGCTTTGTCAATTGCTAATTAGGACACAAGTTCTTGTTTTAAGTTTAGTTCGGGCATAGAGGGAACACCTTAGTTCTTAGAATTTTAGTAATTTAGTAATGATGTATGTCTTGATGTTTTTTGAAAAATAAAGTTTTGTTCATGGTTTCTCATCTATGTGGTGTTCCACATTTGACAGTCGGTCCTGCATGCTGCACAACAACATCCAATATTAAGAGAAGAAAGAAAAAAAAAGAAAAAGCAAGGAAAGCTGTGTGTGTGCCACAGCTCCACAACACACGTTCACACATACACAGCCGCTTGCATTGCATTCCAAGCACACTTGATTTGAATTGCCTAACAGGCCGGCATTTAAATAGGGGTTGCTTGTTTTCTGTGGCAGTCACTCCACACCTTAGACTGCAAGAGCAGAATGTCTTTGTAGTACTTCCATCCCATTGTAGCAGTAGGAAACTTCAGCCTGCACTCGAATGAGCTGTGAATTTACGTTTGGCCAAGGAGCGAGGCACCAGAACATATTATACTGGCAGTAAAGTGTGGAGTCAAGAGTTGATCCACTGTTAACTGTCCTCCTGATTTTTAAAATCATTACCAGTGAGATTGTCGGAAGTTCCACCTCTTGTGAAACAAGTCATCAGCAAACAAGAAACCACAAACAGAAAAAGCTGATCTGGAAGAACTCGAATGCACTATTGTATTTATTTCACAAATCTGTTGGCCATAAGTTCATCAAAGAGCAAAATTCATCCTCAGACACACTTAGTCATATTTCAGTATTTTGGCCAAGATGCTCCTTCAGTTGGAAGCGCGGAGAGAAGCCATTCTCATGTCAGTGCCCCAGATAAAAGCTGAAGCAGGTTAAACAGCTATGCTGGCTTTGTTAAAAGGACATTCCTGGCCAGTTCTCCCTTGAAAATTTGATTAAATCTCGAGGGATTTACTGGGTGGAAAAAGGTGAAATAAATAAATAATCCTGAAAACGTAAAACTCACAAAAATACTGCAACATTTCCTGGTTTAGTCTGTACAAAAAGTGTAATTTGATGTGGACAAAGACTCCAGAAAAACCTGTTTCAACCTTCTTTTTTTTTTTTAGTCTGGCTTCATATTTTTCATAGATATGTGAAACTTTAGACTATTTCCCAAAAGTCAAACTAATTTTCTTAATATCTTAGAGTATGTGGCTTGTTCATTTGACATATAAAAGCTGGTCAAAGAGCAGCACTTTTGTGCAATGTGTGTGTATTTGGGGGGTTTTGTTGCAGGTTTTATTTAACCAAGCATTATTTTAATTCCACTGCCATGTGTTGTACGGTACAAACCTCCCGTTGGGTGTAGGAGGAACTCTACATCCATTTCGAGGAAAGTTCGTGAAAACTCCCAGTCTTGGAGCATTAACTTACCATAGAAGGAGAATATGCCACTTGACGGTTTCCTCCCACAGTGACTGAAGCAGGAAGTGACCACACTGAGCACACCCACTTTGGAAGCCTTCACTGGTGACTGATTTCCTGTCTCCCCCAGGAGACTGTGAAAGGCAGACCAGCAGGGCTCCATTAAAGCCAATTAGCAAGAATGCTTTCTAAAACTGCACCAGAAGCCAACTCCAGCCCACCAAATGTCACTAATTATGGTGCTTTTTTAAAAACTGAAATTACAGGAGTGGGGTGCTGTTTCTGTGTGCTTTAAGAACTGCATCGTCATCCAACTCTCGCTTTCTTAGAGAAGGGTTACTGAGGTTATGAGAGAGGACGTGCCATTGTATCCACCACAAACTAGAAACTTGGGGTTTGTTTTCTAGTGAGCCCGCCAAATTATAAATCTCTCAGCTTGGGGTATGTTTGGGGTTTTTGGTTGGGGATTTTTCCCCTGGCAGAAATCCACATGGCAGACTTTACTTGTCGCACACCAGTTAACATTAACGGCATGTAGTCAATGCCCGCATAAGACAAAGGTCCGAGCAAGGCCCCACAAAATGCCCAGAGCTCCTATAGACAAACTCCAGAGTTTGGCATTAAATTTCAGCAAAGAAATCCAAATTATTCCTCTTAAACTTGGAAAAGCGCTTATTTCGGATGCCAGTTAATACAACAGCCAGTTTTTAAATGTAATTTCTTTCTTCCAGGCTTCTGATAACTTGGACCCCAGTCCAAACCCGAGTCACAGCCCAGCCTCTTGGAGACGACAGATACCCAGTAGTGATCTGGGGACCTCTTACGATCGGATAAGCAGGACACCTGGAGCCTCTAGAGGAGGGGAGCCCTGGTCCAGTCGGGGGCAAGGCTTAGGAGCCAGAGCTGAGGGGAGGAGCGGAGCAGGAGGCAGACCGTGGAGCCAGCGTCAGTCAGAGCAACATTAGACCAAGTGAGGAGCAGGATTGAAGCAAGTGGGGCAGGTAGGAGGTGGCTGGATTTTCTTTTCTTTTAACTCCTGATAGTTAATTAAAATATACAATTATTAATTACCCCTTTTGGAACGGCGTCTCATCTATAAAGGGGCTTTCTCCTTCTATTTATATATTATCGTCATAGCGACAGTGATGAAATCTTTGCACAAGGCAGTTTACAAACTGTGCTGCAGCAAAATTCTCAAGTTTAAATATGCTTTTTTTGGTGACTTCCTCTGGAAAGACCAGCATAATTAGGGATAAATTATGGAAAATGAGAGAAAAGCTCACTTTGAACCCGGATAAGCATACAGTAACTTCATTTAGGATTGGAGACCTCATTCCTCCATCATACTAATGATATTCACATTTTACATGTACAGCTGATTTGCCGTAAAAGACTAAAAGACTGGAAATTAAAAATTGTGATTTAAATTGGAAGTGTACCAATGAGCTCGGTCTCAATATTTTTCCCCAATAATTGCTTGCAAATTATCTTGTTCTTTCTGGCAAACTTTCCACGAAATTATAAGGAAATTACAGACCAGTCATGTTTCTAACAAAGATGAATAGTTACGATAACATTTTTTAAAAATGAAGGATTAAATGTGTCTCTTTTCTATTCATTTTTTCCCCTCCCATAACAGCACTCCATTAAGCTCTCAACTGCAAAATAAGGGCCAAGCGCTAGTTTCCCATCAAATGACGGCTACATAGATCACCACCACCTCCAGCAGACAACAGTTTTGCAGCCACACTGAACAACAAACCACCGACCTGATGATGAGTGTACGCTGAGACATGGACGCTTCTTCCTATTCAAAACTGTTCCAGAAAAAGCCGTGCATGGAAGGTCAGCGCCTGTACAGTGTTTTTGGAGGTTTCCTCACCGGCCAGTGTATTATCTTCTGCTTCTTCTGTTGGATGTATTATAGTGTAATCCTGAAACTTGACAAGGGAGAGGCTGGCACGCTGCGCAGGGCTGGAGATTTTCCTGTGCGCCAGAGTTGGAGGAAAATAGACTCAAGAGAGTTTGTTACAGTAACCTCAGAGTAGCTGGAAATGTCACTTGTGCTTCAGAACTTCAACTTTTCTTCATCACTGAAAAGACGAACCCAATCCTCAGTCAACAGCAGCGCATCTTTCTCTCTCACAGGGCTGGATTTTCCCGTAGGATTCTCTATAAAACCAAACGATCGCTACTTTAAATGTGACCAAAAACAGGAAGCGAATTCCCCTCGGTTTTGTTTCAGACTCGTTTTTCCTTCTGAAAACCTTCATCCAATCCCATCCCGTCCCCCCTTCACCAAACACAAGCCATGCAAACGTATCCACAAAACAAGAAGCAAACACATCCACATTTTTAACGTTCGGTTTAATTTCAGCCCATATCCCGACTTTCCAGCACGCGGTAACCTCAAACTGGATTTAATTTGAGGTCTTAGATGCTGAATGAAGATTTGCATGTTTCTAAGTAATAAATGAAGAACACTTGAAAGATTGTGACTCAGCATGCTTAAAGGGTTGCCGGTTGGCTGGATTTTTAGGTGCACGCACACACACACACACAAATACAAATACAGACGTACACACAGACACATTTTTCTTTTTTCTTTTGTCTTCACAGGCCAGGACCTTGTTTATGTTTTTCTGTTATTTTGATTCTTTTGTAATTCGCTTCCTGTTCTGCATCATCCTTTCGCTTTCTTCTCAACCGTGTCATTTGAAAAAAGAAAGTGGACTGCACGCAATGAAATGGAATGCACATGCAAGAAGAAAAAATAAATAAATAAAAAACAAGAGGATGGGGGGTGGCATTGTTTATAACCTCAAACCATGACACAGTTTCCATGGTTCAGTATTTTACAGCTGTTGCAACTGTCCTCATCCATGTGTTTTGAAAGAGCCATAGCAAAAATGGAGTTTCTGTTTGAACTGAACTTTGGACTTTCGATTACCAGCAACCATGGCCTGGCAGGGTGGGACATTTTTTAGTGATGCCATAAGTAATGTGTACACACCAGTCATAGGAACGACCCAAGGGCGTTGGACTTCTAACCAGGAAGTGACAGTCCTGCTTGTACGTGACTTGGTTCGCCGTGCGAATCGTGCTAGTGTCTCTCTTTCTTATTTCTATAGAGGTGTATTATTTTGTTACGACGATAAACAACACCTGGTGGGTTGGTATGTTGGAGCAATCACTCATTGCCAGGGGCCACTACGGCGGAGACTGTGCAGTAGAATTCAATTTAGCCACCGGCCAGTAATAAAATGAGGTGTTTTTTTTTTGTTTGGTTTTTTGCTGAGGTCATCAGAAACCCTGCTGACGTATTCAAGTTTCTCCATAAAGTCTATCAACAGGCACCGGCAGGATCTTGAGACCGTTGCAGAAGATTGACTGCAGAATGACAGGCTATGTAAACTTTTAATCCTAGAACAAAATTTATGAATGTTGCTCAGGAGGAATGCAGCTGAGAATGACCAATTGCTCGATGGCTTAATGCTCCGATCCAACACGACTGCATTCTTTGTCTCTCGCATCTGTTAAACTGTAGACGAGGGGGGGGAAAGAGAGAAAAACAGAACCATAACTGTGACAACTCTGGACCAAGTTCTGGATCTGTGAAAGAACTTGGGACTTTTTAAAAGCCTGCTCTCCATCTGGCTCCTCTGCTGTTGTGGATTTTAATGCTGTGTTGTCGGACCCTGCTGGGGATGATCTGGTTCACTTATTTTTTTTGTTTGTTTTTTTTTTTTTTTTTTTTTTTTTTTTTTTGGTCTCCTGTATTCTACCAGCCACCATCAAGCTGTAATATTTATTAGTCTCCACATATGTGCAGGTTCTTTTATTGTGAAAAGATCTGCCTAATGGCAGGACCTCTGTCTGTTGCCACTTTGTCACTTTACAGTTTATGCAAGCAGGAGATTATATGCAATTAAACTGTCCCCCCCACCCCCACTGCAATATCTGTAACCATTTCAGCCGTCATCGTGTACAAAAAGAGGTGATGACTGTGTAAGTGAGAAGTTTGCTAGGTTAAAACTAAAAGTTTACCTTTAGGAGTGCACATTTTCACCAGTCTGTCTTTCCATTATGTTTACCTTCTTGCAGTAATATCTACAGCATGTTCGTCTGTGCCTTGAGATGCGGTATAAGAGGTAAACTGTCCCAACAAATTCAGACCATCGCACAATTTCCTTACACTTGCAGTAAACATAAATAACATGCAATACAAACATGTAAGGTTTTGATTTGTTCCGTTTGCATTTAATTGCATTTTTCTTTTATTTGAGAATAGTTTTGGCTGACATTGTAAAATTATTTTTAGGGGAAATCCTCCCTGAAACTGTTAAAGGACACGAGTCACGCCGCTGTGTGGATTTGACTGTCAGAGTCACAGGGTGCAGCTCCGCCTCTGAAAGGCTTGCTTTGTGACTAGCCGCCTCCGCCGGCTTTATGATGGCGCAAAAACGGACCAGACGCACTGTTTAGAGCTCTCAGTGCACAAGCCAAGACATGATGATCATGTAGTCCTCCTGTGCTCCCTCTGTTATTCTTCTACTTCTCATTTACCAAGAGAGAATGCCCTCTCGTCCCCAGTCTCTCATCTTTTCGGCCAATTTTAACTTTCCTTTTAGGATTTTGCTAAAAATCAAGTGTCCCTTCCTCCTCCCTCTGTTTCACTGTATTTTCCTTAGATTCTCACTTCCTAAAAGGAAAACCTTTGCCCTAAACAGCAGTGATGTATGCTACTGGTGCAGAGGCTCGTTTTATTGAAGGCCAGAGGCCTGTCACCAGAAAATGATGGGCAGTTCCCTGAGTAGCTGAAAGGTGAAAGGTCAGGTCTGGGTCTAATCCTGTCTCTACATCTTGATTCAGGGCTTCTAAATACAGGAGCGTCAAAAATGGCCAGCTTGGCAGTGACGTGCACATGATGATAATTAAAACATCCAGGGGGGGGGTATCGAGTTTCAGTTTCTCCCACATATACACGTGCTCTTCTCTTAGTGCGTTTGTTGCTGTTGTTGATATGTCAGCGAGGGTTCTCATTTAAAGCTCAAGTGGCGTCTGCAGAGCCCTGAGTTGGCTGGAGGGCGTTTGTGGGTCAGGATGGTGATGCAAGCACCTGAGCCACAGCCCATTATCCTGCCTCATGGGCCATAAAGTTCTTGTTACTGTTTCCCTCCAATCCAACGTGATGCTCCACCACCGATCCCTAAGCAGCACCACTGTGAAGCATTTCTCCATCTGTGAGTTGTTTCTTTTGAATCTTTCTCGTCCTTTCTTTCCCTAAAGAGTGTTTGAGTTCGGGGTGGGGGTGTTCCAGCTGTCAGAAACTGTAGGTTTTACGATGCGTGGCAGGTTTCTCCTCCTCAAGGTCGGGTTCAAAGCAAGCCGGGCTGGGTAAAGGCCAAAGTTGAAACTATGCGATCCACCTTTCTTCCTTCTAAGGCCCCAATGTTCCCAAACGCTACTGCTAAACCTGATCGAACATCCACTCCATCCAGTGAGACTCAGCTGGACTGTCCCAGCATGAAGACCACCCGTGGCATCTGTGTGCGCTTATGTGATTGTGCAAAATGCAACTGCTCACAGGCGACAGGTCTTACTCAATGCTTCGGTGAAAGTTGGTGCAGTGTTAATATGGTGGAATGTACTAATTGGTTTTTGGGGGAGCTGCAGTGATAATTTCACAGGTTTTAAGGATTCCGGGGCTGTTTTCTTTTCCTGATGTCTCCTCTGATTTGTGATTGATGGTTGAATGTGGACTGAATTACAGCAATGGTGTAATAGCTGCTGTTTAAAAACAAAAAGAGGCTGCTTCTGCTTTCCTGCTAGGATACCAGCTAAAGAGTTAAGAGAAATCCTCTGAAGATGTGTTGGTATATCTATAAACATCCGTTATTTTGTTTTTCCTTTTATAAAAGTAGACTAGAATGTACTTAGTGGAGATTGGAGGAATGTTAGCAGGCCCTTGTCCTCAAATGCCTCCATTGTGAAGCCAGGGTTATGGTGTCATTGGGGTGTCACAGGCTGTAATCTGCACTTAACCAGCACTTAAACAACTAATGCCCCCTTCAAGTCCCCCATTGTTAAAACGTTTTCTCTTCTGTGCCCCCAAAATTGTCCGTAGCTGTTTGCTGAATGTACCACAGCTGGTTATGTAGGGTTTATTATCTGTTTCTTTTCAAGAATCATCTCAGCAGGTAAAGGAAATTGGCATGCACTCAGTGAAAAATCATGTTTGCGTCTCAGCCTTTTAACAATGTGCCAAAATCATTCCACAGTATTTACAGTTTACAGAGATGGTGCAAAAGTTTCCCCAGGAGGACACGGTGTCTCTTAAGGTTCTGAAATAAAGGGGAAATATAAGTGAGGTTTGTCTTTTCTCTGTCATCTCTCTTCTTATGTATTTTTTTTCTCTTTGTTAAACAAAAGATGTCTTATTTTGGAATCTATATTGGATAGATTTTATTTAAGGAAAAACTAATTTTGTAAAGTGGGCCTTATTACTGAAATATATAAAGTATTTGTCCATCTTGACTTAAAGACTTTTTTTTGTTTTTCGAGGTAATGTATCTCCTTTTTCTTTGTCACACTCCTGGAGAGTTCTTCTTCATGTATTTTGTGCTTGGTAGTTTTAATGCAAGACGTTTCTCACAACTTGGAGACATGATGACGCACCGTGGATGAGGAAAAAGAGAAAGAGAGAAGCCAGCGTCGAGCGATGGTCTTTGAAGAGTGAGAGTCACGTGCGTTTTATCAGAGCTGAGCAGGTCTCCGATGTTGAGCGGTTTAACACGTGTCGACCCCTTTTCTCTTTTTTGGTTTCGTGTTTTCTTTTTAAATCGGGGACCATTCACTGCTCCAGCCTCTCGCTCATAAATTCAGGGTTTGTACATCTTCTGTGCTGTATGTTCGAAAGTGCTGCCAAAGAAAGAAGGGTGCAGGTCCCCAGACATGTGTATATATTGAAAACACACAATCTTAACAGGAACAATCGGATAACAAATTAAAATAATACATTTTTGTTTAACTGGATGTTCTCTCTCTCTTAACGCTGATTCATCCACATCTAAGAATTTCTGAACTGTACAAATGAGGCGTTTATTTGTTTGTTTATTTGGGTTTTATTAATAGATGAGTGTATATAAATGTGTGTGCAGAACAAGGAGACTGACAGACAGAGGTGTCAAACACAGACGTATATGTAATTAAAATCAGATCAAAATTGTTTTATGATTGATTACTGCTTCTCTGTGTCAGCAATGCCAGGCGTACTATGTGGGGAGGCTTTTTTTTTTTCTTTTCAATTTAAACTTAATACATTGTGCATGTTTTAACCTTTCTGTGGCTGGCGCACTCTGCATGTAGGTCTCTTGAAGCTGTACAGCAGACCATATGTATTCCAATAAAAATAAAAACCGACCTGTTTGTAAAGCGTCTCCGTGTTGGAACCTGTGTAAAAATGCAAACGTGTATGTTAATCTCGTTTTATGTTCTTTGTCCAACAAGCTCAGCAAGTTTTGATTTCATAGCGGTACACCCATTTTGTGCGTGCGTGGTGCGCTTGTGTGTGTGTGTGTGTGTGCGTGTGCAAGAGAGAATCCTGGTTTAAACGGAGTGGAGAGAACCGCACCTGATGGTATGCAAAATGAGCAGGGAGACAAATGAGGCAAAATTGGTCAGGTACAAAGGGGGGGGAAACCGCAGGCTGCTGTGGAATGCAAAGTCAGCACACACATCTTTCTCTTAAACAGCTACGCCTTGCTTTGTGAAAGCCAGCATTTCTTTTCCTGCAGCTGTAGGTTGCTTTGAAATAGCCCCGTCTTACTCAGTAAGTCACTCTTTTTATGATGATTACCATAAAAAGACCGAGTCTCAGTTATTTTGGAAATCATGGGTAACACTGGCTGAATCCCAGAGGAGTTGTAATTCCTATTCCTTTTCCAGCTTGAGCTGCATGGTGCCAGTTTTTTGCACCTCCAGAGTACAAGCCTCAACACGTTCAGTCGAGCTGCCAGACTTTCAGGTGCAGGACTGAACTAAAGATGTCTCATATAATGTACCATAGACCAGGGATATCAAACTCCTTTTACATCACAGGATACATACAGCCCACTTCAGATGAATGAAATTCCCATTTCTGTCAATGTAAAGAAGTGTGACTACACATTTAATCCCTGCATAAGAATATATGTTAGCAAAAGAAAAAAAAAAAAGTGATTTCAACAATCATCTCAGTTTTTCTACCTGACAATGATATGCTGCTGTATTAAAGAATTAATATAATATATATATAATAATAATAATAATAATATAATTCAATAAAAAATACACTTTTATAGTAGATAGTGAAAACTGGAGTTTTTCTCTCTTATAATTGCTTATTTATTCATTATGCTCATTGGTGTAGTATGAATGTGTATGGGGCATCCCTTTAATCAGGAGGAAAAGCTGTGAAAGTTTATGAAAGTGCAGTTAAGTTCCAAATTTATGCCCTCCTTCACATTTTCCAAAGCCATCGAGTGTGCGGGGCCATTTCTGGCCCCCTGGCCTTATGTTTGACATCCCATAAATTTGTATAGATGGTGATTATGTAATATTGCTTTAAGGTTCAATCGTTCCATCAGCCACATCATTGGGTTTAGTTGCTTATTAATGCAAACATCAGCTGACATGGTAGCATCACATGACACAGGAGGGTTGTTAAACATCTTTGAGCTGATGGGAAAGCAACAGTAACTCTACAGACACTCGTTACAACAAGGGCATGCAGAGGACCACACTGGTTACTATTCCTGTCAGCTAACAATAAAAAACTGAGGTTACAGTTTACATGGAAGAACAGATGATAGGATCGGAATCTGCCCTACCAGCTCTGACCAGAGTGCACACATCTTCTGATGACTGCTTCCAACACGATAATGTACCATGAAGGTGTTGAGTTCACTGTACTCCGATGCACCTTTGGGATGTGGTGACTGTGCATCCAGTAAATCAAAAAGGGGGACCAGTTAAGTACTGGTGAGATGTACCTTACGTGTCCAATGAGTAGGTGTTAATTGTGAAGATATTTTAAAATGTTTGACATGTCACAGTTGAAAAAAATAGTAACAGTTGCTTATTTCCATTCAGTTTCATAGTCCTAGTGTTAAAGAGTCACTGCTATTGTCAGTCACACCTGTGGTTTTGCTTCTGCAATGTGAATAAAGAGACAAATAGTCACATCTAGCAAACCCGCAGGAATCAAACTCGTTGAAAGTCATGGGTTAACCTGCTGTTGTGGTTTTAATCTGCCCCACATTCAGATGGATGGGAGGTGGTGCCTGTTTGGACCCTGGTACTTCTGAGCCTCAGCTCTGATGGCTGACCTGAATTAGTGCTGTGAAGTCAGCCGTAGAAATGACTCAGTGGCACTCCAGGCGAGCGGAGGAGTGAAGCAGGATAGAGATCACACATTACAGCAGGTGTGAAAAGAAAACCGAGTGGGATGTTTACTGAGTGAACATGCAAAGGGTCAGAGGTCAATTGTGCAGAATTATATAAGTTTTAGAAGTGGCACTAGAGTGATTTTTATTTATTTATTTTTTGTACTTAATTTAGACAACCATGAGTGATGGGAAGATAATTCGTTGTACTGGTATTTAGTCATAAAAGTATACTAAAGGAGAGATGTGATGAACAGCACGTGGGAGGTTTTGTACCTGCATTAGCACACATTCCACCCAGCGGCTATGGAGCTGTAGTTACTTAAAGACTTTTATAATACTTTCTGCCTCTCTATAAACCAATCAGTTGATGTGGGCTACAGGCTATTATAAAAAATAACCTCACCAGTCAACAGTTACACACTGCTCTGAGTCTATGGTTTACCAGGGAGGTGAAAATATCTGAGTGCAGCAGTCCAAAACCCCAGCTCAAATTACTGTTGTTACATCAAACATCTCCTTTGGTCACGATAATAATAACCACAGCTCTGAGGAGGGGAAAAAAAGGCCCATGACGCTCAAGAGTGCATGGAAACAGAGGGGCACCGAGCCCTGAAACTTCAGAAAAAAACCTCATAGCTCAAGGCTGACCATTTTAATCTCCCCCTTCATTCATCAGATCCCCCACTATGTGGAGCTGCTGCCAGGGACCCTCATCTCTCTCTCAAAAACACAAACAGTACCACAGACCCTGGGAGGCGGCCAGACCTGCAATGAAGGAGGGTCACCGAAGGGTCAAAGCAGATGCAGCCATGTTACATGCAAATGAATGTAAAAGCGCAATCACGACACAGTTGCAGGTAGTAGAAGCTCAAGAAAAGGGGGGGATGAATCCTGAAATCTGACAATCTACACATTTAAATCTAAGATTCCCCCCCCCAAAAAAAGAGTCTTTAATATATGTCTTTTCTTCTTTTAATAAAAGAAACTGACAATACAAAAAAAGTGTTGATCACAATAAACAAAAAAGTTAATTCTTTGAATAGCTCTCTTTAACTTGTAATACAAGTCTTTTTCAATACACTTTCCAGCCTAAACAAATGAAATTTAACAGGCACACAGTTACAGTATATAGTAACATGTTAAGCTTTAAGACAAGACAAAAACAAAAGTCTTCTGGAGGAACAAAAGAACACATAAATAAGACATTCGGCTCTGATAGCTCCACATCGAATCACTCCAAGTACCGAAAGTAATTCCATGCCGGCAAATCTAAAACAACAACAACAAAAAAGATTTTTCCCCTCACGGTTCCCTAGCAACCCAGTCTATGTAGTAGGTCATATCCTATTCTGGTAGTAGTTTGTAGTTGTACTATCTGCATATTTTCACATTTTTCTGGGACCTCTTAAGAGCCAAACTATGTCTGAAGAAATGGTCTAAGGCAAAAGAATCTTAATTAAACGCATGTCCAGAAAACTCTAGAAGTCTCATTATTTTATTCTAATAGCAAAACTTATTGGGGGATTTAAAAAAAAAATTTCATGAGCCCCCTTTTATTTTATCCACTACTTTCTATCAATCTGACGGCATCCGCACATGTCTGGTCACTTTTCTGTAAAACTCTGTCATAGTCGTCTATCTCACTAGGTCTGAAAGATTATTATGATAGATCCTTACTGGGGAAGTGTCTCCTGCATCTTTGTGATTTTATCAGCTCAGTGGAGACTATCCCACAAAGAAATAGCATGTACATAATGACCCTGTACCTAACACCGTTTCTAATGCAATTGAATGAATTTCACAATTTCCAAATACAGAAGAGAAATTTCTGTCTGTGTGGACAGGCACAGACACAAATCACCATCACTCTGGTAGGTTTTGAATGAAGCTGTGAGGAACATTAAGGTTTGCCCTAAGTTTGAATGCCATCGTTATTTATCTATCCATGTCTAAAAGGGACTTTAGACCTTACAGAGCTTTGACCAAGAGATTTATCTAGAGTGTGAAGGGAGAATTCACAGCAGATGGGTGTCACCTGTCCTGCCTGCTGGATGCTATACCCAGACACCACCCCTCATCAAAACCAACATTTCCTGTAGTGAGAATGCATCCGTCCCTGCTGTGTGTGACTAGATGCTGTCCAGAGTTTGTGTGTAAAAAGACCAATCCAGAAATGTCACCAGTTTATGGGTTAAACCTTGTTTTGTTTTTACATTTTAATCACAAATTGTCTTAGTAGATCCAGTCCTGAGTAGGGAGGAACTCAAGAGAAGCTTTTCAAACGGTGGCGGTGGGCGGAGTTTGCTGAGGGTTGCTGGTGCCAGTGGGAGTGGCTTGTCTGGGAAGTGTGTACATGGCACCGAGGAACTGATCTGCGATGCGGCCGGCCTCTCGAAGACCACTGAGGAGTGCCCCGTGAACTGTAGCGGGATAGTTTCTGATGGTGTGCTCACCAGCGAAGAAGAGACGAGGGACAGGCTGCAAAAGAAAAAAAAAACGCTTTGAGATAAGCTTTAAAATGTTCCGCCGTTAGAGTTGGTTAAAAGTAGACGGGATTGGGAGGGTGGGGGTGGTAGTAAATTGTTGTGGCTCATCAGTCAACACATACATGCGACTTGTTCACATCAAATCAGCACACCAACATCAAAACAGCCCAAAAACATCTGTGCTGGGAATAAACCGCTCTGCTTTGGTTTGGTTGAATATTGTGGGCAACTTTTCCTCATTACTTTCTCGCTCTCACTCACACACACAAACACACACACACACACTCCTGAATAATAAGCAGCCGTCTGCTGAGCACTTACCTGGGAGGCTCCTGGTATCGCTGGGCCAGGCGTGATGGGCTGCGCCATCAGGTCATAGTCATTGCCTGAAGAACCTGCTGCTACATATGAGTAGGATCCTCTCGCCCAGGGGTCGGCACGCCAGCGGGTGACCACAGTTTCCTTCGGCTGCCATGACAACACACAACAAAAACAGCACACGCTTTGTAAGAATTTTCCATGATGATATTAGAGGGACCTGTAAACAGCTGGATGGTGCACAGCTCCAACGCTGGCATGCATGCATGTGATTTTATCCCATTTGAAACCATAAGCAAATGATTTATAATGAAAGGTGGTTTGGATGCGACTCCCCCCCATTGCGGGCGCTTTCACATATGCTCGCTCTGTTAAGTTTTGCTGGTTATGGGGGTCAATTCAGGAATGAATTTGACATTCCACTTAAAGTATTGGAAAACTGAGAAAACCCAAATGTTTGAGCTTGAAAAAAGCCCCAACCACTACTTCACTGGAGGCTTCAAACATAATATTAAGATGTGTCTGATCAAAACTAGGGGACAGAACAAAAGACGACACACAAAAGGCTCTACCTGTGGCACAGCGCTACTTCCAAATATTCCTTTAAGGATGGCCAGGCAACGTCCGACTATAACGTCATCACTGATGTTCTCCATAATGCCAGCAGCCTCGCCAGCCATCAGAGCGAGCAGGATCGGGGCTAAAAGAAAGAGTCACAATTCGTTATTTAGACCAAAATATGGTTGGGGTTTTTTGGTTTGTTTTTAAAGAAACAAATTACTCATATGAACAGCTCTTAAGTAAACGTAAAAGCCCTTAAGAAAGTACTGAAGCAGTAATAGCATCAACGGCTAGAAATATGTGATGTGTACACCACCTTTGTAGAGGTTCCAGAAAAGGAATAGTTCGCCCCGACTTGCAGTGGTGGAGCCGACGTGACCGAACAGGTTAACGCTCGGATCCCAGAACACGCGGTCAAAACACAGCACCACCTTCAGAAACAGGGAGGGTGATAAATTAAGAACAGTCACCTAACAATCAGGCAGCTTATTTAAGACAAAACTCAATAATTTGTGAAGTACATCTAATGCTCAGCACATTGACAGCTCAGAATAGGTTGGGCCATGTGAATGGTAGAGCTCCTCCTGCTGGAGTAACTGCGCTAGTAGCAGCTCAGATTGCATAATAATGCAGTACTCTCCTCTGTGATGCAGCAGAATTAGAAAATAAAGTACTCTGCTGCGGATGATGCACGACAACAGAGGGAGTAGAGGAGCTGGTGGGGGTCAGGAGTGACGCAGAATGAGCACTCTGATCGGATTACTAACACGGGGCAAAAAGCATCTTTGGTGTGCACGCCATCCAGCTTTGTTCCACCTACACATACATGGCTCTCCTCTAGTCACCACTCATCATCTTCCAAACTAACACGAGGAATAGAACAACAATAGCATAGACATATATAGAGAAAATTGGAATCCTAGACTGATTTATGAAATTAAATAAATAAATAAATAAAAAACACAAAAGAAATCAGCTCACTACAGCAGAAGTGCAAGCTTAGCAATTTGAGCGCAGAATAACAAACCCCTCGGGACTACAATCAATAAATCCTGAATAATGATTTTGCTTTAAATGCAATATCCCTCCAGCAGCTGAAGGTCAGGTTTTCAGCATAATTATGCTGCAGCAAAAACAGAGGGTCATCTCCCTGAGAAACCAGCTCCTCAGTCCTGCTGAAAACACGCTACATGATTTAAAATAGCTTGAGCGCTGAAGCTGAACATGACAACATGTGTTAGGAGTCAAGCAAAAGTTGGGCACATCACATGTGTTACCTCACTGTGAATGAGTTTAAAATTAAAATCTTTGGACTCCAGCATAAAAATGCGACTCCGTTTTTATGAGTAGAACCTAAACAATGCAGAGTTTATCCTTTTCACTTTAACAAATGCTTATCCATATATTTAAATCCAACCTTGTTGAGGTTGCCGAAACCCATCCTCTGTATAGCTGATGTCTTCCACTCTGGCAGTGGGGGAACAAATTGGACTGCAGGAGGCTGCTGCTTCAGCACCCCGAGGGGTAGCGTGCACAGCACAGCGTCACACTTGTAGATGAATGTCTGAGTCGTGGAGCGAGTGTTCACAGCTATAACCTCACAGCCTGCAGAATCAACAAGAGTGCTCCTTAAACATTCTGCATTTATATGAACTGCAATACTGAGTTCCTTCAGTTCCACTTTTGCCAAATGACATAAGACACATACCAGATGCTGTATATCGGACCTGCCGCACCGCTGTGTTTAGTTTGATGTCCAGGCCCTCAGCCAAGGCCACAGGAACACACGAGTAACCATTTCTTACTGTTAAGTGGCTGCCAGTGAACTCAAAATCATCATCCTGTGGAAACATTAATTTAACATTTTATGTCAGCACAATAATAAACTTCCCCAAAAGTATTTCAAAGCAACAATAGCTTATTGAGCATATGAAAAAGCCAAGAACCTCGACTGTCTTCATTAAAACCAACCGCAGTCTTGCATTGCACAGTTAAGTCTTTTCAAAATGTGTTCGTGTACATACCTGATCCCAGTGCTTGAGAGAAAGGGTGGAGAGGGGTGTAGCGTTGGCAAACTCCAAGTTGGCAAAGTGCCAGTCTAGGATCTGCCGATCCCTGGATGACAGGTAAACATCACTGTGGGAAAGAAGGGGAAGGCAATGAGAAGTGAGGTACACTGACAGCTCACGCTAACTCAACTCAGGCTGCTCTTTCAAATGAAATTCTGAAAGAGTTGGGATGCTGTGTAAAATACAACTAAACACAAAAATATAACTAAAAACACAAACCCGTTATCTGATAAACTGATAACAGATAGAGCCCTTTCTACCACCGTGTCCGTTGATTTTTGGTCTTGTCTCATGCGTGCAGAGACGTTTTGGAAACTGCTGAACCTTGTGGTGCTCATTTTTACTTTTCTAACTCTGCCTCTTTAAAAAGCTCTTTTTATACCCAGGTTACTGACGCGTCGCCAGGTAACCCAATTCATTTTCTTTTTAGTAACACTTACTTTTCCCGCCTTTTGTTGCCCTTTCTCTTATAAATACTGCTTCATAAAATGCAAATCAGTGTAATCACTTTTTATTTATGTCTTGGAAAGCGTCCCTTAATTTTTCGTGACTGGGTTTGTATTTTTAAAATATTTCTTTAAACACACAGTGTTGTTTATTTAACCAACAAATTTCACTCAATCCATATTTAGCAAATGATGCTTCAACATAATCAGTCCAGTATTTTTACTTGTGAAAGCCGCTGAAGATTTACATCAGTAATGACATCGCAGGTTAGTGTTGCAAACCCAACTGTGACTTTCATTAAAGGACCAAAAAACAATTGCTTAATAATAAATCACCACTGTAAACCTGGAAACAGGATTTACTTTGCCACTAAACACCAAAGTGGTACAAAGTACAGCCAACTCTGGGTATTTGTTCTAGCTCAGAACTCAAATGTAAAAACAACATCTCAGTGTTTAGAATCGTTTTTTTATAACCCCCCCCCAAAAAATCCAAATCCTGTTGGGGTTCTTTGGGATGGAGGGTGGGGTCTTACCTGGGTGGATTTGCTTCCAGCTCTTGGAGTTTCTCTTCAAGTTTGACCTGCATCTCCACCAACTCATCATACTCCTACAAACAAACAGCACAGTCATGTAATGTAGATTTCATTCAGTGTCACAAGGGATCACAATCACAGTGTAGGAAACTTCTTATGCTTCCAGATACTGGGAATATTATCACAAATACATGATTTTTAAAAGTGTTTTTATAGTCTGGCCTCGATCACTATCTTAATAATTTTTTACTTCAGCTTGCATTTAGTATGCACTTCAGGACCCAAAATTAGCAATACACCAGTACTTCTGTCAAACAACAGACTTTTGGAGATTGAGTTTCACATGCATGTACATGTGTGTACACGGTACACACCCTGAGGGTTTCAGGTCATGCAGAAAGGACACGCAGCTTTGACAGAAAGAGCTGACTTAACCTGTTCAGTTCACCACAAGAGAAAAAACTAGGACAGTGCAAAGTCTGGTATTACCACGTAGCAGTCGAAGCTCCCGGCAAAGCTACATTAAGTCTTAAGGATCCCTCGCCTCTAAACTAGCTGACCTGAGGAAACACAAAAAGTGGCAAGACTACCACAGAATCTCTCAACAAAAAGAATTTCACTGGCTTTAAAATCTTGTTCTACAGTGCAGTCATAAAAGAATATAATGTGCATAAACACACACACACACTCTCTTAAAAGCCAAGTCTGTCTTGCTAAAAGTGTATGTATACACATGTGCAGACAGAAAGACTGTAAGACAGTGATTCAAACCCTTGAAGTGGTCTCTCAGAGAGCGGATGGGTCGCAGACAAATCCAGTTCAGATACCAGCTGTGTTTAAACTAAATCTTCCCCTTTAAATACACACACAGCAGTAGTGGAGGTGATTTATCCTCACCAAAAATAAAACAGCGGCACTCACTCTAATATTACGTCCAACTGAGGCATTAAACCACTTAAACACAGCCTGTCTGGTTTACTTAGACAGCACAGCATTAAAATTCTGCGAGGCATCCACCCTGAACTAGTGGTCCATAAAATATCCCCTTCAGATGATAGTACTTCTTTAGCACTATAATACTCTTAAAATCACTTATTAAATATTGAAAGTTCTTTCCTACACACTGTGGTGGGTCAACTTCCCGACCAATGAATGAACCTTATAATAAACCTAGAATGTCTAATACTGCCTCATAGTAGCTCAACCTACAGAAAATAAAAACAAAACACAGACACTATGTGACACTAACAAAAGTGTAGGATAGTGTAAGGAGTTGTAGCTATAATGCTCTTCTATGACACTGATTAGTGATTTTTGGATCATATCCAACCATCCATCCTCTTCCCCTTATCCCATGTGAAATACATTTGCTTTTGATCTGAAATAGTGTTAGACTGGCGATCTGTCCAGTGTCTATTTTCCATTTCTCAAAAAACAAACAAACATCGAACTTACTTTGCAGAGTGCGGTGAGGTCTCTGTGCTTGCTCTTCACCAGGAATTCAGCTGTGATATCTCTGGGGGGTTTTACTTCACTTGCTTCTTTATACTGCTGATGGAGCTCCTTAACACGTTCCTTAGTGGATACCATCTGAAAGGTGGAGAAAAGAGTTGAGGTAGGTAAGCAGAGCGAGGGGAAGAAAGTGGCAGCTAAGGAAATTGATAAAGTAATTTATGCTCACCTTATTAAGAAGATCCCTGAGCTCTTCCTGAGTCTTCACAATCTTCTTCCAGTGTTCTATCTGCTCATCTTTTACATGCTTCTCCTGCAGCCTACACACATACAGACACATTAGAGGTGTATTCAAGTACCTATAAGCATCTTTGATACTGATACCAGATTCTGTTACTCACTGTATGACCACCTCCAAAGCCTGACCCAGAGACACTGGTTTGTTATTGAGGAAGTTAAAGTCCAGCTGGTGGCTGAGGTAAGAGGTGGCCTCCAGCAGTCGGTTGAACTCTTGCTCCACCATCTCATCTTTTTCTTTTGGTACCTGGACACCCAAGCAATCGCATGAGGAGAATTTCTCATTGGTGGCATTTAAAAGACAGCATAATAAAAGTACAGGCACACGAGACATGGCACTAGTCAAATAAACAAAACTACACTTAACTCTTTTGATGTTTAGGAATAATGGAATCAATACTGACAAAAAAACTTTGATTCACTAATAAAAGTTATTCATGTCTCCTTAAAAAATACTTAGAAATATTACAGTATTTGATGCCTTGATAAACATGCAGAAAGAGATTTATGACATGTTTCAAAATCACAGAACACAGACAATGCAAGAAAAGAGTTAGATCTATGGCTAAGCATTAGTAGAACACATTACACATTATGATTGGGGTGAAACACATGAGGATGCTGTACATTTATCAAAGAATGGAGCTTTCTTTATTTGATTTGATTAATGCATTGAATATTTTTCACAGCCAGCCTCGTCTACTGCAATTTAGTAGAAATATAGCCAATGATATAACTAGATTTTCTGCATAGCATTGTTATTAAAATGAGCTAAAATATCGTGTTTGTAATGCGTTTTTTGCTAACCAAAGTTACTTTTTCACAAATTGAAACCAGAAACATTTAAACTGATTTCTTATCAACTCACTACTTTAAAAAAATAAAGGCTAAAAATGTTAAATATAGTGTTTTGTCATTTTTTATCCAAACACAAAAGTTAATGACACTTTGCTTATTTGCTGTTCTCTTTAACTACTACAGGGATTTAAAAAAAAAAGTTACATGATGTGAAGCTCAAATGGATGAGCAGCAATATTTAGTTCTAAAATTGGTTAAAAAGGAAGTAAGAGAAATAGTATGCAAATAAACAGATACATACACTTGTGCACCGTTCACCCTTTAGTAGTTCACCAAAAAGATGAACATGGCAGGAGAGAGGGGAAGAGAGAGACAACATATTAAGTAAACATTTTCAAAGTCAAACGGTTTTGCACAAAAGTAAATCATGTACACTTAATTTGCCTTTTCCTGCAGGGGGGGAATTAGTTACATGTGATGTGACTGCTTCAAAAGATTTCAAAATAGAGCCTTGAAAAGGATCCTAAACATCCTACTAATGTTGCTGCAGTTTAATGGGCAGAACACAAACTAAAGGGGGAAAAAACAATTTAATGACATTAGGCTAGATCCGTTTCTAGGCTGTTCAGTTCCTAGAGGAACTGGAGCTGTTGTTGATCAGACGCAACAGTATGTAGTTAAAAACTCTACCACCATGTTTCGGTGAATCTTTGAAAGCCATAAAAGGGACAAGTACCAGCTAGGAATGCAAACACAGCACTTTAATGCCAAGAGTTCACCTTTTCTGCAAGCATCAAAAGAAAGAAAAGAAAAGAAAATCCTAACAGAATGTTCTGGTTTACACATCTGTACATGTTAAAAGCAGACTCTGTGGCGCTTCCGACATTTATGCATGAATGTGTCTAAAAGCATGGCCATACCCTCGTTTAAGTTACAAGTGCAAACACACAATCAATTTCAACAAACTCAGAAACCACTGACTTGTTGTTGGACATAATAAAAAGTCTCATTCAAACATTCAGAGTGAACCACCAGACCCACAATCAGGAACAGAAATCAAATAAATAAACCAGCATGGAGGTGGGTTTTGAGCAGTGGTTATCAAACTGTGGGGGATGATGGGGAACAGCCAGGTGAGAAAAAAAAACATAATAAATTGACCCTGTGATGCACGGTGAAGCTACTTTGTGATTTGAACCCTTTTGTTAGTAACTGATAAAAATTATGGCTTCCCACGTGTTTGTTTTCACGAGACATTTGCCAACTTTAACCACATTTCCACATCAATTACTAAATGATTAAAGCTGCAAACGATTACAAAATCATCTCCTAGAGTTAGGTAACCCAACAGAAATCATGTGAAATGACCCCAAGAAAGGCATTCATTGAAAACATCTTCACAAGACCACTGAGCTGAAACAGAAAACACAGACTTTAACATGTCTACTGAACATTGTGTGGGTCTGGTCTGGAGCTATGGCAAACATAAGTTGTACATGGAGGTTATCTGTGTTATTAAATCAAATGGTTCACATAGTTCTGTTACCATCACTGGGAATGTTTAATGGGTGTGTCAGTATGAACAGCAGCATGGTTGAAGCAAGCAGACATATTTCACACATCAGCATGCATGCCTCTATTGCTGTTAGCCTATTGCCACATCGTGGTTTTGTAACAAAATTTGGATTTTTACAAAAAAAAAAAACAAAAAAAACAACAACAAACACACACAAAAAGTTTGTTATTAAAATTAAATCAAATATATATTTACAAATATCTTAGGAGCCCCACTGAGTTTTGCTGCAACAGGATAATAGACAAGAGGCACCTCAGTATTATTAAGATCATTCATTGTACTTACAGCCTGTCCATTGGCTTCATATAGTGGACACTTCTGTTTGATCTTGGCTAGCTCCATGTTAACCTGCTTACTGACAACTGCCATAGGATTTCCTCCTGAACAAGTGCACACACAGACCCAAAATACAATGACATTACACAGGCTGTTATCACCCTCTACAGGTTAATCAAAGTAAAACTAAACCAATATAAAAAAAACTATAATTAAAAAATAGCTCTCTTAACACTGATCTCAGATCATGTGACACTAAAAATTATTTGCATCTTGAACACATGAACGCTTCTGAGTTTTGGAGTATTAGGAATTGTATACTAAAATATATACACCTCTACAGCACACAGATGCTAAACACTTACTAAATGCAAAAAATGATTAACTTCAGCATCTCAACAAAAAGAATCTGATTCTTACCCAGCCCTGTCACTACCATGGCTCCAAGATCTGCAACATAGTTGCCCTTCCTGAATGTGGCCACTCTGCCTCCAACACGGTCCTGCATGAAAAGATTAACATTTCAAAAAGAAATTTAAAAGTATACATGAATAGAATTTAGAGGCTTGTTATAGTGAGCATTTTAAAATCTCAAATGACTTATACCAACATCTGATTAACAGAAATACTGTTAGTAATGTACCCTGGCTTCCAGCACAGTAACATCCATCCCAAAGCTCTGCAGCTGCCGGGCTGCGGCCAGGCCAGACACACCTCCACCAATGACTATAACCTTCCCAGTCTTCTTTGCTGCAGGACAAGGCAGTATTTTATTTTTCAACTCAAAGTCATGTAGAAAACATAAAATGTACCAAAATTAGGTTAATTGCTAGTGCTATTTCAGCAGTAGAATAACTGGATGAACTTACTGGGTAAAGGCTTGACCCTCTTGTAAATACCAAAGTTAATGAGACCATGCCTTTCCAAGTAACTGTGTATCCTGTGGACCAACACAGCATCACCTACAAAGAGAACAAATGGACATCAAATTTCTCTTTCTGTATGAGGACAAAAATAAAAATAATGGGGAAAAAGTGTTTTATTTAATTCCTCACTGTTATATGGAGCTTCAAGCTGCTGCGCTGTGGCCTCAAAGGTCAGCTGTATTTTAGGGTTGTCTAGCCACAGTTGGAGCTGGATGAGAATAACATGAATTACAGTACTGCCCTTTATCTAGAAACTCAAATTAATCCATTTATATGAATACATACCGTGCGGTTGCGAATGTACAGAAAGACCTTCTGAGTCTGTTGGGGACCACTGATGATGTCAGGGAAGCAGGCTGCTTCCTGGGATGTCATACGGTCATGAGGAAGACGGCTCTGGAAAGCAGCACCTTCCAAACCTAAAAATAAACACGCATATTTCTTTTCTGTTGAAATGAAGTCTAAGATCAGTTTAACAGGCCACTCAGTTAAGAATTGCAACCAATTAGCAGAACATGTCTTCTTTTACTGCTCTAACATGCAAGTGTTTCACACACCAGACGGTTCATCTGGTTCACTGTCATTCTCTTCCTCCACAGGTGGGGGTGGAGGAGGGATGACCTGCTTCCTTTCTTTCTCTGCTTTGGCATTCCTCTCCTCCTCTGAGTAGTATTCATCCTCCGAAAGATTAGCCAGGCTTTCGTCCATCTCGCGGTACTCCACCTGCAACAGTAGGCACAATAAAAGCATCATTAAAACCGGCGTTTGTGTAAATCGTTCATTTACTCCCACTTCTCTTAGAAGTGCTGAAACATTTCTCAGGCATAACCAACAACTGCCAGAAATATCACACTGTAAACACTGGGAAACAACTGCCACTTCTAACTTTTCACGGAGGTGCAGACGCAGAAAAATACCTGTGTCTTGGGATAATGAACACTCCTCGGATAATGAACGCTCCTGAAGCACAGAATATAATCAATTCTCATGATGCCACAATAAACTTATTTCCTTTCCTTCCCTCGTGAGCATCTATAAACCTAAAATATTTACTTTTGCTCGCTTGCGTCGACTCGTCCTACGGACTTCAGCAGAGTCCTGATCTGCCCCTCCGGGGCCTGACTGGTGTGACAAAGAGGCTCCTCCATGTTCCCCACTAGGGGAAGACCTGTCCTTTTTCTTTGAATCCATAGCTCCAGCCACTGAGGCTGCAGATCCCGTCTGGATGTCAGAACCCGGGACCCTATCACCTCCCGCTGCAGAAGACGAAGAAGAGGAGGAGGAACCCGCATCTGATTTCTTGCTAGACAGCATTATGGAGGATGTTGGAGGCCTCTCCTAAACAAAAAAGGGAACAGGAATGAGATGTACTCCTTAATGATGATGCTTACAACAACAAAAAGTGAAATGGTTGAAATTTAGATGTTAGCAACAGTGTAACCAATAATAATAATAAAAGAAAATATTGGATGAACATGATGATGTGGTTTTGAGCACTGGGTAAATAACTGTGTGCACACATTACTGCACTTATACTACTGCAAAATATATGAAAATTAAAGATTTACTTTAAAGCAACATATAAAAAGTACAAAATCCATAGGGATAAGAAACAATGCACAAGGGCCTGCAAGTCTTTGCACCGTCAGTCCAAAAGCCCTTGTAAGTGTAATTCTCAGTAATTGAAGGTTTGGTTAACAATTATTTTTCCATCATAAACATTTGAACATCCTCCTGCCATTTGAAGCAAGAACTGCAAAATACTGCCTGGTGTTTGAAAATACATCATCCCAAAATAAAGACATTAATTCGTGTTTTTTTTATTTCTATAACTGGATGATTTAAACAATGTTGCGTGTGCATGGATGTCATGACTTTATGAAATGAGGGCACCAAGGTACAGTAACCTTGTCTTGTTTTACCCATTTCTCCGTGCACCTGGTAATATCCATTCAAACACTAAGAAATAAAGACAGAACCAGAAATATGGTTACGAACAGGACTGTTTGATATCGGCCTTTTGTGTAATTTTAAATTGATTTTAACTTAGCTAAATTACTTCGTAAAATACTGAGACCCTGCGTGGGACGAAGGTCTTTCACAATGTCTGTCGATCAAGTCGAGATATCTCCTGAAGAAAACAGGAAATGGCTTGCCGTTTGCCCGTCTGTATCCTACTTTCTGATTAAATATGCCCAATCCCGTTAGTCAGGAACCGTCTTTCTCTGACTTGTTTCAGCTAGCAAGCTAACGACAAAACTAGCTTAGCAATCATTTGCCAACAGCAGGTTATCTTCTGTTCAAAGTCTTAAATGCACCATATGAATTTCATATCGTAACCATTTAACGCTACTGCTAAACACGCAATGTACTGCAGCCATATAGATTTAACTGAATTTAATATATTCCTTTCTAATTTCTCATTGCCGACCATGCTAGGTTAGCCAATGCTAACAATAAGCTCCGGCTAGCACCAATGGTAGCATAAGAGCACGTACGCCGGTTTGTTTGGAAATTAATGCGTATTGATACACTGTTCGCGAAATCGTTTGCAAACGTTCTCACACTACTCTGCACTACACTGCTACTGTTTTAAGGCAACCGGAAATTATAAAATACTGAAAATATTAATAATACCTCTCAATCCCCCAGAAGATGTCAACACAAAGACTCCACACTATTAGACCTTGCACAACGAACTTCTCTGTGATTGGTGAATGGAAAACGTTACGCAATTGCCGCCCTGTGTAGTTAATGGTTGAGATAACTGCCAATCTAAAACAATGCCGAGCCTTTGAATAGCTCCTACTGTTACTGCCATTACTCGAGGGCGCTTTTCGTGGTTAAATGGATCATAACTACTGCAATGGATGAAATATTGTTTACCTTTAGATATGAACACTATGTTGGTGCTCTGGAACAGCTTCTGAATCCAGCACGGAAAGAGCGTTTTAAAGAAAAAAAAAAATCATTTATTACTAAATTACAGCATATGTTATACTGAGTCAAAATTACAAGTCAGTTTATCTTTTTTTTTAATTAAGTCAGCCTTGTAAAGCTTGATTCAAAAAATATTTGTTGAATAAAAGTAAATCATATCAGTTTGCCCATTTCGGTTTTAATTTGCATAATTTTTGCTACTTACGGCATTTTTTGTGGAGTTTATTCACACAAATCTCAAATATGATACCCTCGAAGTTTCAAATTTGCATAGGCCTAGTTGACATAGTTCAACCCAGTATTACGGCTTTTTATTTATTTTTTAGTGGCCAAAACAAGCCTGCAAGTTCCGCGTTTCCGTCCTACTTTCTGTCCGCAAAACCCCGACCCTGCAAACAACTGACGTCATCCCTAGAAAAGAAAAGAGCAGGTGTGGCAGAGTAGGCGGGGTAAGCAGGTAAAGGTGTTCCGCTCCGTCGGGCTCACGACTCAGGGAAGCATATCGATGTTCTGCTTTTGAGGCTTTTGTGTCTTCGTTTTAGAGCTGATTGCACGTAAGTGGCTAAACATATAAACCCAAGTGTTAGGCGTGAATATAATGATAAAGCATTTTGTTTGGGGTAAACTATGTATCTGAACAAACCCATTTAAAAGTGAGCGAAAACTCAGTGGTGTACTTTTAACAATCTGTATACCGTTGGGGTCGGGGTTTTAGATTTCGTGTGTACAGTATTACAAAGGTTTTCGCTGTGTTTTATGTCGAGCTGTGCTACAGTGTTTTGTGACGTCAGTTGTCAACACACCGTATAAATCTTTGGTGAACAAATGAGCTAGTATACTTTTAGTAGGGGGTTCATACATTGCCGTGGATGTGATAGACACATTTGCAATGCTATAAACTGGATCATACTTGTAAACCTATAATGATTCAATCCAACAGAAGCGAGAAAATGGTGAAACAAGAGTCAGAGTCAGCCAACCGGCCAGACAACACCGCCTTCACCCAGCAAAGGCTTCCGGCATGGCAGCCTATACTTTCTGCTGGAATTGTAATCCCAGGATTTGTCCTCATTGGGCTGGCCTTCATCGGCATTGGAGTCGCTCTCCTTGTCACTTCCAGGAGCATCCAGGTGTTAGAGGTATGACCTCCACACTGAAAGCATATGCCTAGGATGAACAATCAAATGACAACTTTTTAAAATAATTATAATTATTAAACAGGGGCGGATCTAGAATGGTGGCATGTGCCACCCTAAAATGATCTCTTGCCACCCCAAGTGTCACCCTAGTTTTGCACATGACAGTGTTGTTTATTAAAATAAGATACCATTAACTTTGAATTTATTGAATAGTGTTAGCCCCCTACACCAGCGGTCCCCAACCTTTTTTGCGCCACGGACCGGTTTATGCCCGACAATATTTTCACGGACCGGCCTTTAAGGTGTCACGGAAAAATACAACAAAATAAAACTAGTACCGGTACCGAAAAAAAGATTTATTCATAACACACGTGAAAAGACCCAGGAAAACCGAGTTAACGATAAAAACGATAACAAAATAACGCTGAAAACCGATTAAAAACCCTGAAAACCATACATTTCACACCCGAGCCTCAACTCTCGCTGCCCGGTACCGAACGACTCACGGACCGGTACCGGTCCGAGGCCCGGGGGTTGGGGACCGCTGCCCTACACCATTAACAAATGGTTCAGCTCATAGCAGGACCGGCTTTTTTCTTGTTTTCAGCAGAAAGCCATGCCTATGATTGTGCCAGAGCACATTTTGAACAACACCGCTCCATGTTGTGTAGCTTTCTGAATTTTATACATATTGTGCTATATATTTATTTATTAAACTGGCTATAGAATACATAGAATCAAAATTCACGTGTTTTATGTGGATTCTATGTGAAACTAACATGTTTAATTATGTGGGCTACAGAAAATAATTAAGTTATAGACAATATTTATATGAAAAGCATGTATATTTACTGCATTTGAATCATTTTAACCATATGTCATCACCTGCATATGTGTTTGAAAAAAAAAAAAGGCTTTGATTTTGCAACCCCATTTGATTTCTCTGCCACCCTCATGCCACCCTAAGAAAATTTCTTTAGATCCGCCCCTGTTATTAAACAGTCTTTAAACATTAAAATTGATATATGGGATCATTCTTATAAACAGTTACTGACCATGCTGTCTGCTTACAGACTTGATTACAAGAATAAAAATAGGTGTTTTTGAGAAGTAAGAATTCATACTTTGATGTTCTTTCCCACACAGTTGGACTACACTGGGGATAGCAACGGATCACCATGTTCTAGCTGCTCCCAGTCAGTTATAGCAAACTGCAAGTGCTCACTGAACTTCACCCTCACTACTCTGTTTCAGGTTGGGATGGATCCTTATTTTATATAATTTATGCCAGCATAACCGTACTCCTGCCTCTCAATTCAGTGGGGTTTTTTGGTTATTGCTTTTTTTTTTTATGTGGGTTTTGTTTTCCTTAATCCAGGGCCCTGTGTTCTTTTATTACGGATTGTCAAACTACTTCCAAAACTACAGAAGATATGGGGCATCCAAAGACGATAATCAGCTATATGGAGACCTGAGTTCCTTTACAGTGAGTTAAGAACACAAAGTATTTCACAGACATGCACAGACTTGGATGTGTAAAAACATGCAGTTTCTAAAGCTGTGCTGAATTTACTTTTACAGTTCTGTAATTCATGTAAATCTTACAGACCATGAATTTAAAAAAAATGTCTGTATCTCTTGAAGAGCCCCAGTAGTTCCTGTTCCCCCTATAACTACGACAGCAGCAAAAAACCAATTGTGCCATGTGGATCAATAGCAAACAGCATGTTCAATGGTTTGTATGGGATCTCTAGTAATTGTGGAGATTAAAGTATCTTCTATAAAAGGAAGTGTTAATTTTTTTTTCTTTTAAAGACACTTTCACGCTGACTCGGACCGTCAATGGGACAACAAATAACGTGACCTTGGATGGAAAAGGAATAGCGTGGTGGACAGACTACAACATCAAATACAGAAATCCAAGCGTTACACCTCTGAAGAATGCCTTCAATGGTAGTACCTTTAGTTTAATTTTATCTTAAGTTGTGTTTAATAGAGGGTAATAAAGTGCACATTCCAGGAACTTAACATACTTTGGTAAATGTTGGCCTACTTTGACTTGCAGGTACTGTGAAACCCATAAATTGGGCCAAGCCTGCTTATGAGTTGGACGCATCAGACCCTAGTAACAACGGGTTTGTGAATCAAGATTTCCTGGTGTGGATGAGGAGGGCAGCACTGCCAAATTTCAGAAAGCTGTATCGACGAATCGATGCAAGCGGGGATTATCAAAAGGGTCTCCCAGCTGGAAACTACACGATTGACATCACCTACAGTATCCTTGTACTCATTACAGAATATACGATGATTTAAAGGATGATGCATATTTATAATATATGTATTTATACACATGTATAAATGATGATATGAAACCAATGATATTTAACACTTACAAAATAGCCTGCTGTTTAAAAAATAAAAAATTCCATGATTTAAAGATTTACGAGGCTCCAGTGTCGTGTTACAGCCACAGCAGTGTATTCGTAACCTGTTCAACGGGTTGGGTGTGTCTCTGTTCACCAGAGCACTGGCTTGAGCACAATGACTCAGGAGTTCTTTAAGGTGACCAAAAAAACAGGCAAATCTTCTGACATAGGTAAACAAGCTAGGCAAATAGCTTTTGATTGTCCTGTGCCAAGGCAGGACTTATGTAAAGTTCTCCATATCGCCCACTTTAGAAAACAGGGCTGTAAGTTTGAATACTTTCAATACAACATTTAAATATATTTGTTTGTTTGCAATACAAGCAAGACAGATTTTTATGGAATGAAAAATGTACTTTTTGATATAACTTATGTCTTTTCTGCTTTAGTGTTATTGTTTTCCACAACTGGTATCCATTTGTATCTATTCTCAGTGTATATCCTTAACACTTGTGCCCCAGACTATCCTGTTCGGGCTTTTAATGGGGCGAAGAAGATTGTGTTCAGCAATGTGTCCTGGATGGGTGGAAGCAATGAATTCCTCGGCATTGCCTACCTCGTGATTGGTTCCCTGTGTGTCGTGATGTCCGTAGTTATGCTCATCGTCTATGCTAAATTCAAGTTCCCCGATGAGGAATGAGCATCTTGTCATGGACTTCAGCGGATGTATCGACTCGATCAACGTTTTCAATTATCCTTTCCGTCTTTTTGGCCTTCATTCGATGAGGTGATCAAGGTGCGGTTTAGTCCTCATGTGAAATGCTCAAATTACGTATTTTATCCTGGGTATGAAGATTTATCTCC